TCTCTCTCTCTCTCGGGAGCAGAAGGAGTGGTGCGGGAGCTGGGCAGAGGTGAAATGTATTATGATAGTTATAGACGTTTGGGTGATTTACCGGTACAGGTTTCGCACACGCGGGAAAGGAAGCGGTTTATTGCCTCTCAGTTTGGGGTTAAAAAAAAAAAATTTGTTTTAACCTCCAAAGCGGGGGCTCAAGTGCAGATTGTTCAAACGTTCGTCCAAAACGAGTGGGGTCGAGGGGGGGGGTGTTGATAAAATGATTACTTTGGGTCCTGAATGTTGGCTATTGCTTTTATAAAGAAAGAAAACAAACACTGCCATGGTTCAAAAAGAATATTATCAGGCAGTGGTAGTGCAGCAGCGTGTGGAAGGGTGATTCTCCCCTTGTCTATGTCTTGATCATGATACAGTGGCCTTTCTAAAAGAAATAACCAAGTAAAATCAACCTGACATAAGTTGACATTGCTCCTGGTGATTAACAATGACGTGGTCCAAATATTCCTATTTGGGTGGGTGGTTGGCGGGTGCTCTGGTGTGGTTTGGTTCTTCTTTCCTATCAAACATCTATCGTCCTTATCTCCCCTTCTTCTTTTTTATGTTTGTTACACTCTTGTAACACCTCAAATCGTCTTCTGGCGCTCATATGACCTTATGCAGTTGCGAGCGCCGTAAAACCTCTACTAAAAAAAAAACCCAAAAAACCCCACTCCTAGTTGGACGTGGTCTTATTTGAAAGGATTTATAAAGTTATGCGTGATTATAATTTGTCATAGTAAACACAAAAATTTGCTGAGCGGGTTATTGAACTTGTATTTTCTTCTCTTTCTGTTCGAAAGAAAAGGCTGGTTTGGGATTGTTGGAAAACAATGCAACTTACTCTTTATTCAAAGTTGATAAGAGATTGTTTTTTGTAAAATTAGTGTTGATTGTTTCTGCAGGTATTACCGTTTTTTGTGTTTTGTGTTGCTGTTGCTGCTTCTATATTGATGGTTTTGATGGTATTGTTAGTAGTAATGTTGCAGCTGCTGTTGCTGCAGCTACATATCACTGTGGCAACATTATCTGATCCGTTTTCTTTGTTTTTCCAGTTTTGTCTTAAATAAACTTCTACCAGAGTCACCATGGATGGTCAGCGGGTGCTCTGGGGGATTTGGTCCCACCTTCTTCTTTTTTGTGTTTGTTACTCTCTTATAGTACCTTTAATCTTTGGCACTTATTATATGACCTAATTGTGTTGCAAGTGCTATAAAACTCTTACTGAAACAAACAGAACTATCACAGTCGCCCACAGAGATATTATTGAGCTGAAAAACAAATACTAACCTGCTCTGGTGTGGTTTGCTCCTTCTTTCTTATCAAACGTCTGTCAACCCCCGGGGCAGTGCCACTGACTGTAGTGTCTTTAGGGGGGACATTTCTCATTCAAGCATTGAAGAATTGTAAATGGGCTGACTCATGTCACGCTCATAAATGTGCCTGATCTACAACAGGGAACTGCTGCTTTTTCTTTCCTGATCCTTACTATTGTCATTTTCCTCTACTTCTTTTGTATGTTTGTCACTCTCTTGTGACCTGCTATTTCCGGGGTGCCTTGATAGTCGAAGCAGACCTTGTGCTGTTGAAGCTAGAGAGGTGAGCAGTCTAAATCTGATTCCCTGTAAAGACTTCTCTGTTGACACCCACCCCTTGGCGCTCATATGACCTTATGCAGTTGCGAGCGCCGTAAAACCCTCTACTATTTTTTTTTTAAAAAACGTCGGTCATCCTTTTCTCTCCTCCCTTTTTTGTGTTTGTTACCCCCTTGTAATGCCTCTAATCTTTGGCACTTATATTAGTTATATGACCTTATTGTGTTGCAAGTGCCGTAAAACATTTACTAAAACAAGCTAACCTTCTGTTTTGTTGTGTTTATTTCCCAGGGGAGGGAGTGGAGGCTACGATCGCTTCAACGGCCCTCAGATCAACACCAACTGGAACCCCCAGCCTGCGGCTGTGTCTCCCGTCGCCCCGCCGGCACCTGCTGGAAAGCAGGTACTGTAGAAACTGTCTGTGATAGCCACCCTTTGTTTAGAAGAAGTGGGTGGTTGGCAGGTGCTCTGGTGTGGTTTGCTTCTTCTTTCCTATCAAACATATATCGTCCCTATCTCCATTTCTTCTTTTTTATGTTTGTTGCTTTCTTGTAACCCCTCTAATCTTCTGGCGCTGATATGACCTCATGCAGTTGCGAGCGCCATTAAACCTCTACTAAATTAAACTGTCTAGGAGAAAAATGACCTTCTTAGGTGGCCTACTCACACAGTGTCATTATAATGTTAAAAAATGTACAAAGGAGGGAAGTGGGAAATGGGAGTTTCTACAGGTTATTGTTTTATACAGTACAGGTGGGCGTTGAAGCAGGCCAAACTGTAATTGCGGTTTTTCGGGGGGGTTTTTATTGGAATTTTTTTTGGGTTGTTTTGCCACAATTGCAGTTGATTGTTGTTGTTGTTAATCCAGAAGTCTTTGAGCGAGTGCCGTTCGGCCCATTTGCAGTTTGTAAAAGTGATATGTCCCCATCAACACAATCTAGCCATATAGGATGGGGGTTGCTTGAACCCTGCCTGTTCGGGAAAACCCAGGCCAGAGTTTGACAGAGCCTTCCTGAAGTTGAATGAAACTCTGTGATAAAAAAACCCAATGTTCTCAATAAGATTCAAACTAAAGTTCCTTGCATCATGCAAGAAGAAGTACCAAACTAGGAGGACCCCGCAGGTGCAGGTAAAATATTTTCTGCCGGATCTGCTTTGGACAAACTCAACATCTATGTATTATGGATTGTGTTATGCTTGACTTTGGACAAATTACAATTTTGTTATTTTACACTTAAAGATTAGTGGGCCATGTTGGAAACCAAAATAGTGGGTGGTTGGCGGGTGCTCTGGTGTGGTTTGCTTCTTCTTTCCTGTGAAACATCTATCGTCCTTATCTCCCCTTCTTCCTATTTTATGTTTGTTACTCTCTTGTAGCACCTCTAATCTTCTGGCGCTCATATGACCTTATGCAGTTGCGAGCGCCATAAAACCTCTACCTAAACTAACTAACTAAAACAAAATAGCTTTTCCTGGTTGCCTATTTTATCTAGTTTTCTTCATGTGATACAGAATATTGCATATTCATGAACAAATTTTCAAATGAAAAAGGGGGTTCTCTCGCAATTTTCTCCTTATCCAAACATGATCTATTTCTTCTTCTTATTTTCCATGTTTTCAAGCACTGTATGACAAAGTTAACTATATAATGTAACATTGTCCAGTAATCTGAAAATAGAAAAATATTCAAGGAAAATATCTGTGTAGGTTAGTTTCTAGGATTCAATGTCTGTGATCATTGTTTAAAAAAACCTCCTTTTTTAAGTGCACAAAGACTAAACAATAAAGTATCATGAGCTGGAAAAGAAAGTTTGGATTTGGATCACTAGTGACATTCTCCACAGGAGTCGCTGAGCTCATTTTTCTAAGACTATCAATTTTGAGATTACCTTTCAAACTGGCATTGAAAGTTTTTGTTTTATAAACCTATGACGTTTTTTGGGAAGGAGCTAGGGGTTTATGGGTGGTGTAGTTATTGTTAAATCTTTTTTTTTTAACTTTTAACTCCACACCCCTTTCCCTCCTTTATGTGTTCAGAACTTCAATCCGACTCCTCGGCCCTTTGGTAGCCAAGCTCCAGCCCGGCCCAACTATGAGAACAACTTGTCTCAACAGACGCAGAATCTGTCCATCTCCAGGTAATGAATGTGAACCACGAATGCGCTTGACTTTGCAGTAGTAATTTTTACTGTCTTTTCATTGAGAGGGTGCTCAAGTCTTTTAGGCTGACTATTCTTTGTGACTGATAGATCAGTCTAGAAGGGAGTTTGAGAGTGATGGCAGGTCTGAATAGTTGTAAGCCATTTTAGAAAAGATAGTGTTCTAAAAGAATGGAGAGTTGTCACGTGTCAAATGTCATTCTGAGAACATGATCATTTTTCTACATATAAAATAGGCTTCTTTTTTCTTAGCTAGTAAGTATGTAAGAGTATGGGTTTAATGCCAGTATCTCCCATAGCTATATCGACTCAATGTCAGTGAAAGCTGCATAGATCACAAAGTCCCTAGTGCACTGAACTTTATGTCTTGGTCATGACACATGCTTCTATCAGATCAGTAAACTGTCAGCAAATATCGACTTCTCAGTGTAAGACTATGATACATCACTTTTCAAAAAAGCATTTGCCGGAGTCTTAGACTAAGCAATTGATATAATATGCGTTGTCAAAGCTGTATTCAGTTGCGAAAAAGACTTCCTTCCAAAACAGATGACTTTAATTAAAGAAACTTACCTCTGAGTCAGTCCTGTGACACTTGTAGAAAATTCTTTTCTTTTTTACTTGATCGGAAAGTGAGTCTTAAATGTTATAGATGGACAATATAGGATTAGGATTAAGTTTTAGGAACAATAACAGATGAAAATTGGCCCTGCAACCCCCCCCCCCCCCCCCCCCCCCCCCCGTCAACTCCTCCTTTACCTATGGGAAGAAAAATACTGTAAGCCACACAGTTATTTTGATATCTTTTCTGTCAAAAGGGGGATAACTAGCTGTGAAACTTAAATGATCAAAGTTGGACTCTGCCCTATGATATGTATATTGTCTTTTTCATCGTTTTATTTATTTTACTTTTGCATACTTTAGAACAATTTTATTTCACAGTGTAATGTGAGTCTCATATTTTTGCATGAGTTCATTTTTGGTGGAGGTTTCAGTTTTTGCATGTTGTTTGATATTAAAATTTCCTCAATTTGAATATCATACTTGTCTTTCTTTACGTACTGTTTTCTTGTTCCCCCCTTCTCCCTCCCCCCTCTCTCGATATGAGTGTGTACCCTATTAATGCACATAACTCTTTAGATGCCAAAGTCCCTGTTGATTACTGTTCCTGTTATTTCTCTGCTGATGTACCTACCAGCAGGTGTGCAGTGTGCCAGACGCTAGTTTGTGCAGTCTCCCACCCTATTTCACTTGCATGATGCACTCAACAACAGTGCTGATTGTGTGGTGTTTGTGTGGTACATCATTCTCTCTCTCACCACACTCATTACTCATACTCATTTTCACTTTCCATTTTTCTCTTTCATTCACTTTTTTTCAAAGATGCTGTTGTGTTTATAATAATATGTTCAGACACCCAACCCTCAATAAAGTCCCTCTACTGACTTGTTGTTGGTACACTGGGTTGGACTATAAATTTACCATGTTCGTTATTCTGTCATCGTGAACTTTTTGTGCCGAGATTTATGTCGAGGCTCTGTCCCTCCTGCTTCTCTTGTGGTTGATTTTGTCCTCCTTCTCATGTTGCTGAATACCTTTGTAGCAGGCCTGCCGAGCCACTGGCATATCAAAATGCAGCAGAGAAATATAGCGAGCAGGAGGATCCCCAGGACCCGTCTCAGTACCAGTCCAAGTCTTTCAAGTACCTACAAAACCTTATGGATGAAGGCAGAGGTACGTTGACTGTAATTGTCATGACCGCAAGATCTAGAATGCCTTACCCAGTAGTTTAACAAGGGTCTAATCTTTTCATTTTTTCTAAAGCCAGCTAAAGTCATTTTGGTTTTTCTCAATTAATGAGATATATGTGTGTGTGAGGCATCGTGGCGAAATCAGGCGCTCGTCAAAAATAATGAAATCGAAGAAACTGGCATTTTTCTGCCTGTCACTTTTCTGTCTTTTTGGTAATTTTTATCGAATTTTTGTTTTTTGACTCAACACCTTTCCTGTCCTTTTAAAAACACATTTCTGTGTGGATTTTACTGAAAAATGTTGATTTAAGGCACAAAAAATGCAAATTTGCAGTTTCTAAGGACTCTCAAGGTTTGGAATTGGCTAATCTGTGACGCCCATTTTCTCGTTAATTTTACCTCTGAAACCAGGCGACCCCCACCTCCTTCAATAGTGAATATGTCGACTTTATATTCAAGTCAAATGAGTATTTTCTTCATCAAAATCAAGACAAAGGAACTGGCTGTAAGAGCATACCAATAACTCCACATACCCAACAATTGACGAGCGCCTAATTTCACCCCGGCCGTGATACATAGAGTCAGAACACAATGTACTGTTTATGAGTTACTGTTATATGTAAAGTGCAGGAATCCTGTGTACTTGAATTTTGGTTGAGCGCTATATAAATGCTGTACATAATTGTTAATATCATTATTGATAGAAAATGTTTTTTGCTCTATCAACACAGTTTAGTTCATTTGTAAGGCAGGCTTTTAAAGTTATGGAAATGTGTTCTTTGAATGAACACAGACTGCCTTCTTTCAGCATAAAATAAGATTTTGGAATAGATGAAATGATCATCGTGAAGTATTTCGTGAAGTGTTCTTCAGTATTCAGGGTCAGATTCTTGGGTTGCTCTCTCTGTCTGGTGGGTGTTTGGTGAGTGCTCTAGTGTGGTTTGCTCTGTCTTTGCTATCAAACATCTGTCGTCCGTATTTCTCCTTCTTCTTTCTTGTGTTTATGACTCTCCTGTCACACCTCTAATCTTTGGCCTAATAATATGACCTAATTTTGGTGTTGCAAGTGCCATAAAGCTCTTACTTAAAACATTCCTGTCTTATTTCAGAGCTGAACACAGCCCTCAAGCCCCGCAACACCGCTGCATCCATGCCTAGCATGAACAAGCCCCCTGAGCCGGCCCCAGCCCCCTCCGCAGCCCCCATCGCGGCCCCTATTGGGCCCGGTAGTAAACCAGGCACTGTCAAGGCCATTGTTTCGCAACGCTACAACAACCCTCTAGGTCTTTACTCCAACGAGAACGCCTCCACTCAGTTGGAGGGACAGTCTAAGTTTCTAATGGACAAGGATGAGGGATCGGGGTAATGATGAGCAGCCTGTGAATGATATTGCTTTCCTTGCTTTTGTCTGTCTGTCCGAAAATCTAGTAACCCCCCCCCCCCCCCCCCCCCCCCCCCCCCACACACACACACACCTCCTCAAGAAAAAGTGTGAAGGATGATGTGTTAAGAGGGGATACCATGAATTTTTATGTTGTTGCCAGCAGGAAAAGTTCTTGTGAGGTAAACCATCAATAGGTTTTAGAGCGTTTGCAGACATCTTTTTGAGTCGAGGTATATATTTGTTCAAATGCTGTGAAAAGGAAGAAAGTGTATGAAAGAAGCATCCTTCAATATCTTGCTCCCACTGGAAAAATAGAAGTAGAATAACTTACTTTCAGAACTTGAACAGATGGCTGACAGAAAAAGATCAGGATGATATTGAGTTTTTGAGAAGATGCGGACAGAGAAATGAGTGGCGAGTTGAGAACCGTAATTGCCGGCATCTGTTTCAGATCTGGTTCTTGGAGAGTAAAAAAAATCGGAATCAAGTGAAAGTTGTCTGTAACTGTAACACAGTTTTGTGGTGGATGTATATGATTTGTTAAAAGTCTTACATTGAAAGACGGAGAATAAAATGGTTTGGCCACCTGGTACATATGTCACCTTGTCAACCAGCTTCAAGAGTCTATAACACCAAGCACTCAGGCTATGAAGGAAAAGGAAGGCCATGCAAAAGGTGGACTGAAGGAGTCAAGGAAACCCTTAGAAATTATACTGTCCCAATTGAAAGAGCTGCAGAGCTGGCCTACCATAGAAAAATGAATCTCCCCTTGGTGCTTAATGGCAACAGAGGATGAAAAAGTTAAGTAAAAGTTAAACGTGAAGGTCCATGCAACCCTACAATCCATCTGGTTACATTTAGCTAGCAAGACTGTCGGCACATCTCACCATCTGTCATGTCTTATAGATGAAAACATTTTTTTCAAGAATTTATTGAAGGAGCTTTGAGTTGTCACTCGTTGTATTCATTCTAGTTATTGGCATTGATTAAAATTTTGCGAAGTTGTAAAAGTCTGCTCATTCAGCACTTATATGACCTAATTGTGTTGCAAGTGCCGTAAAACGCTTACTAAAAAGAAAAAAGTCTGCTCTGATTTTTTTCCTCAACACCATTATCTTTCTTTTGTCTTAAGTGGAATTGTTTGACTGACTGGCTTTACGTATAACCAAGATTAATATTTGATGAATTATCCCATGGGAGGCGGAGAAGGGTTTAACTGTTAGATTGTCTTGCTTTTTGCTTCGTTATGGAGGGGGGGGGGGAGGGCTGCTTCTGGCATTGGTTGTCACAGGTGCTTTTGGAATCAACACAATGTGCTTCAATTATGTCTTGATAAGCTTATCTAAATTCCAGGTTCGACAGTTTTGAACCATTCTTCTACTCCTCTGGTTCCACATTGCCGCTGTCCTTGCAAAACAACCCCAAAATTTAAATATTTTTTCCTTTTAAACAGCTTGTATTTAGTGATTAAAGGAAAAAACCTTTAGATTTGTTTCCTACTTATTTGTTTCTTATCTTCCAAAGGTGAATTTCATTGCTGTCACAAGAAAAATGTGTTATTCCAATGTTTTTTAAACACCCCATGGGGGGCTCTTGTGGCCTAGAGGTTAAGGTGTTGGCCTCTCATTCAAAGGTCCCGGGTTCGAATCCGGGTAGCGACCGAAAAATTTTCTTGTCTAAAATTGTTTCCTTTCACCTCCTTTCCTGCTCTCTAGCAATGTTCTGTTGTCTGCTTTCATTTCCACTTTCTGCCCCCACCCCTCACCTCCTTTGCCCCCTCCTCTGAGCTCCTGACTCTTTCTGCAGCCTTTCTACTGCTACTCCTTGGCTCCTCCTTACTGCTGTCTTTCTGCCACACCCCTGATCTGGTAGGAAAGATCTACACCTAGCTTTCTCGGAGAAGGGCGAAAAATCTCGGAGGGCCCGTGTGCAAGTTGCGCACGTTAAAGATCCCTTGGTGGTCTAAAATCGATAAGAGTAGGCTTCGGCCGCCAGCGGGTAAAAGTCAAAATTTCCTACCAACTGAAAATATTAGGAGTGTCCCGCGCGCTCATATGACCTTATGCAGTTGCGAGCGCCGTAAAACACTTTACAAAAACCCAAAAAAACACCCGGTAAAGGGGGCGGGGGGGGGGGGGGGGGTGTTCAGAACAGAGTTCTTAGTTATTCTTGCAAAGCGACGATATTCTTCCGCAAAGCGACGATATTCTTCCTCGGAAGTTTGAAACTTTGACACAATTCCACCAGTTCTGCCTTGAGGTCTCAACAGCCTATGCATAACATGTCCCTTTCTGTTTCTGGTCTGCTCTCACGTTATTGGCCTTAACTTGTCTATGCATTTGTCTGAGGTATTGTTGTGTCCTACTGGAATACTGTATAACTTTTTTGTTCAATGTCTTCAATATCACTTTGACCTGAAGTCTGTGTCTGCAACACTATTCTACCAATGTATCAATATATCCTGTTTCATTCATTATAAGCATTATCATTGTCATCATCAGCACTGATGTACGAAAACATTAACCCTTTGACTTTAAAGCATGCCATACTTTCCTTTAATTTTTACTGTGCATCTTGAGAATCACTGTATGTCTTGTTTATGAGTTTGAAAGGAAACTAACCTATATTCTAATACATTGGGATTATCTTTTCATAACTCATCTGTTTTCCTGGCAATTAATGTTTCCACAAATGTTATTAAGTTATTTCTGCTTTACAAATAATGCCTTAGAAGAAGGATTTAGGAGACCGAGATGTGAACTTTTTAGAATATTTAGTTTTCATCTCTAGTTTGTGGGTTAAACACCTTGGAGTATTGAAAAGTGAAAGTATGAAGCTGAAAAGTGACACTGTGAGACTGTAAAGTGACACTTGAGACTGTAAAGTGACACTGTGAAACTGAAAAGTGACAGTATGATACTGAAAAGGGACACAGAAACTGAGAAGTGACGCTGAGATTGACAAGTAATGCAGTGACTGTGGAGGAATTTATTTGTTCAAATGCTGCGAAAAGGAAGAAACTGGGAGAAGGGACCATCTATAGGACTCACTCCTTTTGCATTTTTTCAGTGATATTTTTTGTTCAAATTAACTAATACTTTTAAAAGAAATGAAAGAAACCTTATGATTAGTTCTGCATCTTGTGCATGCTCCTAGTTGTTTGCATTAGTGTTTGTGTGTGTGTGTCGGTTTCAGTAACACAACCCAGGAGGATTTCCCCCCGCCCCCACCACCCGTAGCCCGCGAGAGCGAGGTGGATGAGAAGGGTAGGAAGAAGTACGTGCCCTCGGAGACGTTCCGCCTTGTGCAGGAGGAGGTGGGGCTCCTGCAGAAAGAGGAGGAGCCAGGCCCCGCCCACTCGCGCACCTTTAAAATGCTACAGGCTCAGCTCAACAGGTGGGCAGTCAGTAGGTGATAGAGGTGGCAGCGGCCAGTCTGTTCTGAAAAGACAATAATATTGTGTCTCTTGCAGCATTACAGACGATATTGACTAAAATTGAGTCGATAGTGCCGTAAAACGCCTACTCTCTCAATCAATCAATCAACTGACGATATAACAGGCCTTTACAATGACAAGGTTTTAACTTCACTCTTTACGAGAACTGAATTATGAACTGGTCATTACTGACAAAGATGCCGTGGACCCTGTGCTCAAGACAATCTGATCTGTATTTTTTTTCAGTTTGACACTAAAGTAACACATAAGGTGTGAAGACGTTTAAGCTGAAAGTAGTGACTCTTTAAACCTCATTTTCTCAAAACTGTGTGTCATTGAGTTGCAAACCTGTCATTCTAAGGGCACAATTAGGAAATTCTTTGTACTTTGATTAGGTAGAATTTTGGGTGTTGAAAAATTAGTCCAAAAAATATTTCATAATTCTCTTGTTAGCCAAAGAATTCTAGGAAAGGATAGATGATTTCTATAAGATAACTATGTGGAACTATTCAATACAGATGTTTCAGCAATTTGATCTGTAAGTAGGTATTTCAGCTGGAGGAGAAAGTTGTTTCAAAAGGAAGAAATGCTCTTTTGAAAAGATTTTTAATTTTGTTCAGTCCATATTTTCTAAAATAGGAAAACTTGTAAGCTAATTTAAGGGGGGGGGGGGGGGCTACACCTGGAGGCTATCTCGCTTATTACTGGACCGAATTTTAACACATTTCACACATATAACAAGCATAGTAAGGAGTCTTCAAATCCGCAATCAAATTTGAGAAAAAAGTTTCATTTCCATGGATACGCCGCCATATTGGATTTTATTGACATGTCTTACGTAATGAATACCGCACTTATTGCTCATGGAAATTGATTGTTTTTTTGCATGCGTGTTCACAAACATTAGATCTAAAAATTTGTTTATTTTTTCTTGAGGTAGCATTCAAGTTTCCGAAAAATCTGTGAAAATCCACACTCCAGACACCACCAACAAAAATCTATTCCATATATCAAAAATTCAACAGACAAATTTTTAGTATTATCTCTTTTCTTCATTCTGTGAAAATTTCATGAAGATTGGATGAAAAATGGTGGAGTTATTCAAAAAAGTATAGAGAAAAGTAGCATTTTGAGAAAACGGCCGATAAAGAAAAATAAAATACTGACTTTATATGGAAATGGCGGTTACAAACACGCCCGGTATGGGAAAAAATACGTTTTTTGGGGGTTTTTACGCCATGAAATAGTTGTAGGAGAGGCTGAGGAAGCTAAAAATGCCTACAACTCAAATTCCATGATTTTGAGCCGAATTTTGATTTTGGGGGTGTAGCCCCACTTCTTAACTAAATGCTTTTAAATGAAAACTTTCACAACAGCGGCTTTTTGTCTGTTGACTTTCTTTTTTTTTTAAATTAAAAGAAGCCAAAGGCGAAAATCACAGCCCAAAAGTAGATGTGGACTCAAAAAAACTTCTTTTAAAAGCTTGAATGGCAACTGCTGCCCTGGGATACAGTGGTATGGGACAGCTTTCTATTTCTATATACAGCTGAAACAGGCGGGAGAGCTGGTCCATTTGAATTGATGTCTGCATACACAAATCATAGCTTGTGTTTTAAGGGTTGTGAATGCCAGCGTGCTCATATGACCTTATTATGTAGTTCCGAGTGCCAGAAACTTCTAACCGAAACGAATGCATTAAACTGGTACCAAAACAAATGTGAATGCCTGCATGCAGAGAATGGGTCGGCATGCTTTGATTCGGGGTTAAAAATGTGTCAGTTTTGTATTGTTTGATAAAACCAAAAATGTGCCTTTTGCTGTAGAAACAAATACGTTTAGAGCCTGCATTTTGGCATTTTGTTGTGCGGGCATGCAATTGAAAGTTGTTTTTTTTTAGTTATGTACTATTTGAACATGATGATTTATCAAACGATTTTAGTGTTGAGTATGTTTTGATTTTCGTGTATAAAGAAGGCCACACCCAGTGGTGGCTTGCTTTCTTCAAAAACTCAAAATGTAAAAATTTTACACTAAGGATTGATTCCTGTCTATTTTAGTGCTATTGTTATTTGCATGTTTTTCTCGCCTGTGTGTTTCAGTGGAGGAGGACCACCGCCGGCCCCTGCACCAACTTTCAGTAAGTGATGTGTGACCTCTGGCCTACTACAGTGGAGTCCGCTTAAAGTGAACATGCTTTATTTGAACAATCGGTTAAAGTGAACGATATTCTGTGGTCCCAATTGAAATGGTATTTGTTTAAGTAAAAAAAAATAGTGGAGAAAATGAACCGGTTTCATGGGAAATCGGATAAAGTGAACGCCCAAAATGAGTGAGAGTGAAGAACGGACTGACCGTGTCACTGTCACCATGATGTGAAAATAAAATTCTTTGCCTCGGGCATCGGCAGACAATCTCAGCTTGGCGTTGGCGAGGGCAATCTCAATCAGAATGAATGAGCTCTGTCTAGGTTCGCTGGCTGTGTTGTTCCCCCGACCCCACCTCCACCCAAGACTGACCACTGCGCGAAGCTACTATTTCTAGGCTTCCACCCTTCCAAAATGGTTAAACTGAACCTCAGATAAAGTGAACACTTTCCTCTGGTCCCGAAGAGTTCACTTTAAGTGGACCATACTGTACATATGAAGGATTTTTCTACCTCAGAATTGCAAAGTTCTATCCGCTCAATACCTAGTTTTGAGAAATTTTATATCATTTTTTTTAGTTTCACTTTGCGTCAAGCGTTTTCGAATGCCATTCTTTGAATATCTTGATAACGACTCCAAATATTTTTACAATTTTGATAGAGCAGATAGAACATTTGGTTTCTGACCTCATAGTTTTAGTAACTCAGAACGGCCAAAAATGTCTTGTAGAATTTTATAATTCTAAGGTAGCTGATTGTATTTGTAGCATTTTGACTGGGTAAACTGTTTGGAGTGTTGTGTTTTTTTTAGAATTGAGAAGCACTGTCTGTTCAATGCAAGCGTGGATGGTTGGTAGGTGCTGTTATTGATATGTGTAGTTAATACTTCTTAACAGAAAGACCTATTTATTTCGCCAAAATGCACTCTTTTCTTTTTGCATTAAGGAATATGAATGCTTGAGGTCTCTTTAATCAGATACCATGAAGAAGAGGAGGGGGTGGAAGAGCCAATCTGTAGTTGGGAAAAAAAATACAGGTCATAATATTTTATATTGACATGTCTGGATAACAGTAAGTCTTATCCGCTATTCAGTGTCAGACTTGGTCATATATCACTTTTCAAAATGACATATGGCGTCACTTTGCAGAATGGTGCATGGCGTCACTTTTTTAAATGGTGTACGGCAGATTCTTACACTAAGGATTCATTATGTAGACTGAAAAACTGTAACCACATTTTTTTTTTACCCCACCCCTCAGAGCCTACCCCAAGCCCTTCCTACCAACCAAGCCCCGCCCCTGTCGCGCCCGCCTCTGCTGCCAAGCCTTGGGCCCCGAGCCCGGCTGCCCCCCCTCCCCCTGTGGTCAATGCCTCCCCCCGCCCCTTCGGCTCCTCGGCTGCACCTCCTAAACCTACCGGCACGGGGGCCACCCGGGGCAAGCGAGGCGACGCTGCCATGAACCCGGCCGCTCTGCCCACTGCCGGCAGGATCCCAGTCTGTTCTGGGTGCAATATGCCCATCAGGTGAAGACAATGGGCGATATACAAGGAGATTTGAAAGTCATCATCATCATCATCATCATTGCCTTCTCACCTTGGATCAAGATATAGTCGGCCAAGAACAAACACTTTCCACCTTTCCCTATCCTGGGCTAGTCACTTGATTTCATTCCATGTCTTCCCACTTTTCTGTACATCCATTTCTATGACTCTTCTCCAGGTTTCACATGGTCTTTCCATTAAAAATATTTGCACATTAAATTACGGGGGAGGGTGGGGTGGGGTGGGGTGGGGTGGGGGGGGGGTTGGTTGTCTAGAGGTTAAGGTGTTCGCCTCTCATTCAGTTGGTCCCGGGTTTGAATCCGGTTACTTTTTTTACTTTTTACTCTACCATCTTCTGTTGCCGTTAAGCGTCGAGGGGAGATGCAGTTTTCTATGGTAGGCCAACTCCGCAGCTTTCAGTTGGGATATTATTATTTTTCAGGGTTTCCTTGACTCCCTCAATCCACCTTTTGCATGGCCTTCCTCTGCCATTATAGCCGGATAGCAATGGAAAATTACAGGACAAAAAAGATTACCTGTTTTCCTATGACTCCTCAGAGGCCCGTTTGTGACTGCGCTAGGCAAGTGCTGGTGTCCAGACCACTTTGTGTGTGCCAACCCTGGCTGTGGCACCAAGCTCCTGGATATTGGCTTTGTAGAGGAGGGAGGATTCCTCTACTGTGAGCGGGACTACGCTCAGCACTTTGCTCCGCAGTGCGACAAGTGTGGAAAACCTATCATTGGGGTTAGTAATTGGAAGTCTGTTGTCTGTGTGTGAGTAATGTAACACCCCAGGGTAGAAGACGATCCATGGCTATATTACGAATTTTTAAGCCAGATTACTAATTTTTTAAATTTATTTGTTTGTGGCTCTGAAAAAAACCCTTCACATGGTGCAAATTTTCAAAATTGACTTTTTTGCTTTCTTTTAAAGAAACATCTTTCCCGAGCATTTTGCACTTTATTTGATTCCAATTGGAGCACTTTGTGAAAAGTTATGGCGTTTTAAAAAGCACAGGGATCCGAAGGTGAAGTTTTGAGAAAACGGTTTTAAAGTTTTGTTTACTCTAGGAATAAATCAAAATTAAGTAAACAATAGTGCTTGATCACTTGGAAACAGAAAACTTGCGGTTTACTTACTGTAAACTCGAAAAAATGCTTCGTAGAGCAGGATGAAGAACTTAAATTCAATTAGGTACAGTTCACTTTTGGTTTGAGTAGCAGGAAATGGAACAGAAGAAGGTTAAACGGCACTCATGAAAAAACTTTTTCAGAAGTGAAACTAGAAGATGCGCAACTCTTGTAAGTATTTGTAATGTGAAAATATTCATGCGCTCTGGGTTTTCCTGAAATAAAAATAAAATTCTCTTTCATTTGGTATATTATATGTGGGGGTTCCCGTGGAAGGAAAGTGTCCGTCCAATTGAGTAAAGATTCCCTCGGTTTGTCTAGGAATTCGGCGTAATTCGGCGACGATATGTCCTCAAAAATAATTCTTTAAAAATATATAGAATCATTTTGAGCAAATTCTTTGAAACATATGGTGTTAAATGGTTTATCGCTCTTATAAAAATGAAGTTTAGGGCCTATTTTCGACGATGTCTTCAACGGGTCTTATCAGACGCTTTTGCTGATTACTAAAACATTTGCTGGTGGGTGGGCAGCCCTGTTTCTGGTGAAAAGAGATTACTAGCTGTTTGTTATTCAACATAACATAGAACTCCAGTCTTTGTTGTGCGGGTGGTTGAAGGGTGCCACCGGTAGCACCCTGTTCTGTGCTTTCCCTGTGTTGTTATTGTGTACCTGTCTTGCTTATTCCTTGTTCTATATCACTAATTGTGTTGATGTATATGACTTATTGTGTTGATGTACTTCTCTTTACTCAAACCCAAACCCAATGTGGGTGGTTGGCAGGTGCTCTGGTCTGGTTTGCTTCTTCTTTCCTATCAAACATCTATCGTCCTTATCTCTCCTCCTTCTTTTCTTGTGTTTGTTACTCTCTTGTAACCCCTCTAATCTCAGGCACTTATATGACCTTATTGTTTTGCAAGGGCTGTAAAACTCTTACTTACACTAAACCCAAACCCAATCTTTGTTGTGCAGGAGTGTGTGAACGCTATGCAGAAGAGCTTCTGCCCCGACTGCTTCTTGTGTGCTCAGTGCAACCAGCCCATTGGGGGTACCAAGTTCCACATCGAAGATGGAAAATTCTACTGTGAAAGAGGTACAATGTTGTCCATGTTCATGGAAATTTTACTTGCTTTTTAAATTATTTTTAAAAAATTTAATCATTTAATTTGAAGGGCTCTAAGATAAGTTCCCCCTATACATATATATGTGTGTGTGTGAAATCAGGCTCTCATCAAAATGATAAAATCGAAGAAGTTTTATAAATTTATCTTTGGTTCAACATATTTTTGTCCTTTTATAAACACATTTCTGTGTTGAGTTTACTGCGAATATTGTTCAAAAACACACAAAATTTTAATTGCAGTTTTCAAGGACAATCAATCTTTGGAGATCACCAAATTTGGCTAGTCGTTTTCTTACTAGTTGAACCTCTTATGCCAGGTGGCCGCTCTTCGTTCATTAGCAAATATTTTAACTTCTATTCAAGCCAAATGATAAAGCTTTAACATGGAACCAGTAACTTCATATTCCTAAATTTGACAAGTGCCTGATTCCACCATATTGTGACAAATTTACATGTCCAATGTTTTTATGAAATTCTTTTAGTAAGAAAATTTAAGAAAATACAAGTTATACCCACAGTGCAGATATAACAGAATGATCTCTTAGATGATTTGGAAGTGATTTGAAAAGAATGCCATGTCAAAGAAAATAATCTGAACTTTTGCGGCTTGGGTGCATGAAAAAACGTTCCAATGTAAAGCGAGTTTAACTCTTTTCATCGACAACTCTTCAGACTGGGCAGCCATGTTCCAGACCATGTGCGCTGGTTGCGACTTCCCCATTGAGCCTGGCGACAGATGGGTGGAGGCCATGAGCAAGAACTTCCACTCGGAGTGCTTCAACTGCTCGGTAAGTTGTCGGTCTTGGTCTCACTCTCACTCCTCTGTGTGGGGCAGCCACTGGTGGGGACTCGTCTCTTTGTGTGGGTGATCCATCAGTTACTGTTTCCTTTTTTTAGAGGTTCAAATGAAGACGGAAGATACTTGTCTCCTTCTGTAAGCGATTGATCAGTTACTGTTTCCTTTTTTAGAAGTTAAAATTAAGACAGAAGATACTTGTCTCTTTGTGTAGGCGATCGATCTGTAACTGTTTCCTTTGGGGGGGGGGGGGGGGGGGTTCAAATTAAGACTGAAGATATAGGTCTTTGAATCCAAGGCTCTACTATTCAGACCTTCGATAAATGAAGGTCCTTTAGTTTAATTGAGATATTGATATGATTATTTTTGGTTAAGTTTTTAACTCTGTCATTGATTAAAGATTTTCAGAAAGAAAACAACAGGCACAGTAATTACATTTTTAGAATACTTTCAAAACGCTGTAAATGAAAGGGGTCTCAAAGTTATAGTTCTTTTTTTGAGAGTTTATCACGTTTTGTGGACCTGGAGGAATTCACTAGTCAATGTGTTCCAAAAACAGCCGAAAAAATCATAAAATAAATCAAAGTTTCTGAGGCTAGAGAAGATGGGGAGAGCGTTTTTACCTCTGTCTACACATCTGGCAATTAAATAAGAGTGCCTAAGGTTTTTTCAGAAATTGTGATTTGTCAAGGTGGCTTAGAAGAATTTAAGGGACTGTGATTTTTACATCGCGCAAACAGTGATCTCCCCACCTGTGCCTGTTTAAACTACTTGCTTCAAAATCCTTGGCTCATGAAATTTCTGATTTCTCGAAGAATTTTGCATCCAGAGGAGGGTCCATCCCTCTTCCTGCATTGTGTCAAATAATCGCTATCACTTTGAGGTCTTTCAAGTCTGAAATTTAGTTTATTACAGTAACAACTACGTGCATTTCGATAGCGTTAATTTCCTGAGGAATCCATCATACCGCTGGCATTTTTTTTGATGGCTTGTATAAATAGAAGCATCTAATTTTTGTAATTTCGTGTATCCAAACGTATTTCTGTAATTTCTGTATAAAAATAGAGAGTACAACCCAGGAAAACGGCTCAGTTAAGAATGTTCAATACTCTTCAATGGAAAATCCTATTCAGCATCACTCCTCTTTTGTTGGGCCTGTTGGTGGCTGTATGTTGTGTGTATAATATGGGGGGTATACTTTTGGACTTTTTTTTCCCAGAAAGAATCACTCATATTGTAGGCAAACATATGATATAGTTCTGTACTCGTGCAACTGTTTACCATGAAAAAAATGACATGGTATAAACACTCTAAGGTCTTAACTCAGGTCAGTCTGAACATTCAGTCTGAACATTCACTTTAAATTGATCTTTGCTGTCACAAAAACTTATTTCATAAGAACTAGATTGTTTAAAACATTTCCAGTAAACTTGCCTTAAGACTCGTACTTTAGCTTGAAGCCAAGATTGCTCTAGGGCCTACTGAAACCTTCAAGAACTGAAACATCAGCCTTTATTTTTGAAAAATTTTACAGATGAATATCCTTTATTCTTTTGCTCTAGCAAAAACTTTCTAAAACAATGAATGGTGGAAGTCTTTTTTTTTGGAGGGGAGGGGGTGAGGTGGAGGAGGGGGGCATCTTGTGTCACCCAATATTGAGTGCTGCTCACTCATTTCTTAATGGCTTAGCCAAGACAATATAGGACATGGTACCTCCTTGCTCTCATACATAGTAGCTTAATCTGTGAAAGATTGAATTTTTACCCCCCCCCCCCCCCCCCCAAAAAAAAAGACTCAGTATTCTTTATATTTTGAAGCATTTGAATCAAAGCAACAGAAGCTAAGTAGTCTGTAATCTGAAGTGTAAGTTCCATTTAGTATTAAATCTGTGCACTATATATTTCTTTGTATTGTGTGAAACTCAGTGCTAAACTACAGTCACAAAATGAGAGAGTGAAAGTGTCCACTTTTATTACTACTAGACCTATTGAGTTATTTGATTCTCTTCAAGAAAGGGGTGAATACTTTAACATCTGTCGGATAAATACTTGGCAAGTTCCTGCTTTGGCTGTTGGTTTGCTGTCTGACTCCTGTTAAAGTAATGTGAACCTCTACTATTACCATACTGTCCACTGTAATGGGTTCTCTTTGTCTTGGTAAGATGCCAGCACCTTGCGCTGTGATACTGTATATATACCTTGCTCTTTGTTTCTCTTTTGAAAGTGCTTAATGGTCTTTGAATGTTGAAACTTTTACAAATTGCACATCGCGCATTCAAGTCACTGACATATTTTGAGGCATTGATACTTTAAAAATACTTACAATATGAAAGTTGAAAGTTGTGTATTAAACTTTTGGTTCAAATTAAATCTCACAGCATGCATCAGTGGGTCAGATTCATATTCTTTTCATATATACTTGGAGAAAGAATCTATGTATACATGCTTTATCATTACGCTACCTCTGAATTACAAAATTCTATCTGACATTTTTTTCTGTTTTGAAATACTTAGATCGTGATGTCAGAAACCAGTGTTCTGTCAGCTCTATCAAAATCGTAAGATTGTTCGGAGTTGTTGTCAAGATGTTCAAAGAACTGCATTCGAAAAAGCTTTATATATGATGTGAAACTCAAAATCTTTGTCGTCAAATTACTCAAAACTAGGTTACTCTGAGATAACGATTATAGAAAAAAGCCTGTGAGGGCAGAAGATATTTTTTTACTCTCAGTTTAACATTTCTTAGGGCTTAAGCTCATCTCTAAAATATCATTCTCAATGGGAGAGTATGACATTCACAATCAGTGTTTAAAAAATATACCTCTGGAAATGATTCTGGCCCAACTGATGACTTGTGGTATGTGTGTACTCTTTGTCAGTGATGAAGTGCCTGTTGTCAGCTGTCTGTTAGTAACATGATAAGACTTCCAGACTGTGCTCTTTTAGTTTCAGTGATTGCCGTTTTGCATCACAGTAGTGTTTTTCTTTCTTCAATGTGTCAAACTATGTGAACTGAGTATTTTCCAGTGTTCAAGTTTTAGCACTTGATTGGTAATCTTTTTTGTCCTGTAATATAATTTTGTTTTGCATATTCTGTTAATGGTTTCAGCACCATATATATAAAGAGTCCGGTGATATATCTCACTGCTTTTCTTGTGCTTTTCCCGTTTGATGGTTTAAAATGTTGTGCTCAGTAATCCAATCCTGGTTTTTCTTCCCTTGCAGGCATGTCAAGTAAATCTGGAGGGGCAACAGTTTTGTGCCAAGGGGGGCAAACCTTTCTGCAAGAAACACGCTCGCTAGTGGCACAGTCCCATTAAAGCTTAGTAATTAAACAACACTTTCTCTGAAAGAAGTTCTTGATAACTAGAAATACTATGTGCTGTATTGATGAGCCCCAAAACTAGTATTCGTGGTGGGAATGTACTGTGCAATTTTTGTCTGTCCTTTTTGTTGAAGATAAACTTTTTAATAATGTATTTGTTATTGAAGAAAATTTTAAAAAGTCAATGTGTTTGTTCGTATAGTCAGATAGACAGATCTTTTCTGGGAGTATAAAAAAATCTATAAGTCAAAGGCAATAGGCATTTGTTCCCATACCCATGGCAGCAACATGTTGGCCTGTTAATAATATCAGAGCTCAGGACATTTTCAGTCTTTAGAGCTGCTGTTTTGCAAATCTGCAATGACAGGCGGAATGCAAATTTTCAATTAAAAAAAGTTTTCTTTGGTTGATCAAATTTTCAAAGCTTTTTCGGTTTTGCTCCCTCTGCCTTTATCAAAGGAAGAAAAAGCTCGGCTGGGCCTTTGTGTGTGTGTGAGGGGTGGGAGGAGAGACTTACTTTCTCAAAATCCATTGTTAGCCTAACCTCTAATGATCCACTTGTAGAGCGTATAAAAACATATTTATGTACTAGCATTTCCAGTTATCATGCATCTTCTAGTCTACAACTTTTATAACGTGTGTTGTTGTATGCCACTCTGTTGATGGTTTGTTTCACTACTGTGTGATGTGAGGTTATCCCTCCTTTTCCTCCCCCCCCCCCCTCAAATCGTTAAGTTATTCCTGCAGTGTTGAATCTAGGAAGAAAGTGATGTGCTGTTGTGTGCTTCTTTCTGACCAGGATGAGAAAGTCCGAGACATGCCAGAATGTTCTTTTCTACCTATATATAGATATATATGTATATATATAAACCCACAAAATAGACTTTGATTTCGACTTCCATGCATGCTCATTTAAAAAAAAAAAATTGGGGTGACATTTCAAACTTGTTGTCAGTGAAATATTTTGTTATTCAAATTTGTTATATTTCATTTGTTGTTGTTGTTTTTTTCCTTCTTGTTGTCAAATTATGGTATGGTGACCTAGATAATGATCTGTTACCTTTTACTTCCGAATATGTAGATATATGTGATACAATATTTTTGTTTATTGGAGATGACTCTGTCAAAATGCATGACTACTGCTTTTTCTACTGTTGAAGCATGTGTGTGTGTGTGTGCGTGTGTGGGAGTGTTTGTTTTTATAGCGACAGGTTCAGCGACCAGCACCATTTTGCAGTGTGTTGAAGAGTGAGATAGGAAAAAGAAAACGATGTGACTGAGAGGGAAAGTGATATGACTGTACACACATTTTTTTGTTATAGATGCACTCGAGAAATGAAATTGAAACCATGTTCATTGAACTTGCGTATATATACTTTCTTACAGAGTTGTTGTTTTTTTCTGTCCCTGTCTCCCGAATAAAATGCAGGTTTTGTTTTCCGATGTTTTCCATGCTACCCTTAGCACACACACACATTTTGTTTTCTTGCATGCACTGTTGTTTGTTTGGTTTAAATTGTTTCTCTAGGGAATGGTACAAAAGTAGGTACTAATCACTCGTGAGAAGTACTGATTCTTTTTATCACTTAGTCGGATGTTAATGTGAGTGTGAAATTTCAAAAGGAACTGTTAGTTTCTTATTGACAAGATAGAAAAGTATTGTTGATTTCAGGCTTGTCTAGATATCGGTCACTTATTTGTATGTGGCATGAAAGCATTGCATATGATTCACCTCTCATCCAGAAGTCATGAAAAGTTTTACTTCATTTTGGAATTTCCATGAAAGTTGAGGAATTGTAAAAAGCCCTCCTATTTCCAATTATGGTTGCTTCCGTATATTCCCCTACCAATGAAGTCTTGTCCCTTTTCGATTTTTTTTCTTCTTTCTTCCAGTATACTTTTGAAGCAACTCCACCCTATAGAATCATTCCCAGGAAGTAAAAACGGTGGTGTCCAGCGTGCGACTGTCCCACTGGGATTGCACAAAGCTGAGGCTCCAGGGCTTCCTTTTGCTGCTTCCGCAGGGATTTGGCCTCATTGTTGTTGTTGCGTTCTACAAGGAAAGGACTCTTTAAAAGTCGCAGGCTGGTTGTAGTGACTCAAACACACGTGCGTCTGTGCCTTGAGAAGTGCTGTTGAGAGTTGAGCCGGACAGGTGCGGTTAAAGCTGCTTACCTCCCTTAATGATCTTACTCGTCTCAGTGGGAGCATGAAACGTTTGTTATCAAATTACAAGCACAGGTTATTTGATCCACACTTCAAGAGCCAGTGCAGTTTTTGTCCAGCTTAAAATACAGTATTGTCAAGAGTGTATTTTGTGGACAGAGTTCTTCTGTTGCTCGAACGTTTCTAAAGCCTTGATAAAACGTGCAACAACTGCTCCGCAGTGCCTTATATGAAGCAGGTTGTGTGAACGGATTGTTGGAAGAACTTTTCAATTATTGTCAGTCTATAGGGTTGATGTTATTTAGCTGAAGACTGGTTTATACTATAGTCAGTTTGACATGGTTGAAGGTTTTGTATATACATGAAAAACCTGTTGCGGATTTTCTTTTTGAAGCTGCTGAAGATGGGCGCATCTGAACTAAATTAGTTTTATAGAAAAGTTGTCCTGGTTTCATCAACTTCATGTGAGTGAACTGAGATTCACAGCATGTGTTGTAGGTCCATGTGTTATTCTATGAGATTTCTGTTGTCTCAATTGCATAGCACATTTTTGCTTTTGCAGTCTTGTTTGTACGTAACACTTTGTACATATCAGTAGCTGTGCTGAGAAATCAAGTTTGTTTGATTTGTGCCACAGCTTTCCTCTACACTGCTAGCTCTGATGTGGCCTACAAGGATCTGACCACTGTAGTAATGACTTTTCCCTCGGTAGACCTGTGATACTACACAACACTGGCGTTCTCATTAGCTTCAGTCTTCCTCCTTCTGTTTAGTTGTGCAAATATATACTTGTCTTTGGCACCGAGGGTGAGGCATACAAATGGTCCTACATTACTTGTTCATGATATATATTTGCTTTCAAAATGATCTATGCATTATTTTATTTTCTGTTTAGATAGATAATGCAACACTGATTGTATGTACCAGAAATAGATTTATTTTTTAAGAAATCATACATAACAAACACTAATTGTATACCACAATTGTTTTGTGCCTTCGTCTTTTGAGTATCTGGGTGACTTAACGGAAAACCTACTTTTGTAGAGACGGTATGTTATGGGACTGCAGTTATAAATTTATTCTTTTATAGATGTCATATTCTATGGAGCTGATTTTATGAAGGAAAAGTCAAGGTTTATAAAAATTTGTTACGTTCAGAAATACCGGTTGGTACATTTAAGTACAGAAGATACCTTTAGTCTTTGAAACTAAAATGTTCATCTCCAACCACGTGATTTGATTAACAAGACTCTTGGAGAGGAAAAGCTTCACTTCTTCTATGGTAAGCTGACTGAAATACTTGCCATGTAGATAACTGTGTTGAATGTCCATGACATTGGTTACTGTAAAACTATTGTCCCGGTACGAGGAAAGGCTGGTTACTTTCAACAGTCTTTGTTGTTTTACAGAACCCATTTATGCTGTTTATTTTTACAGCATCAGCATCGTTTTCCCCACCCTCTCTGTGGCATTTTTTTGATACTTTGATCAAAGGGACTGGCTTTCAGACAGCTTTATGCTTGTGGCAGTTTAGGGTTTTCCTCTTCCCTGTGGGGAGGGGAGTGCTTTTTTAAAACTCTACAAATATGTACATTTTACAGTCATCCTGGTGTTCCAAATGAAACACTTTGTTGTTGTTACTGATTTGGAGTTGTCCTTCCGAGGAGAATAGCTTTTTACTGTGAAAGTGTTGTTTTTATGGACAGGAAATTTTGTATTTTATGAGATGCGGATTGCATTACATCCACCCAGCTGATTTTTTTAAAGAATGAGAACAAATATTTTAGAGTATTTTTTGGGGGGGTCAGTTTTCTTGATGGCAATTGACATATCATAAGTGACTGCTGAAACTGTTGGAATACATACGACCCCCTTCTTCCCAACTTCCAGTCATGATTGCTCCCTATACAACATACCGTTGCGGTGCTATGTTCATATCTTGACTATACATTTTTTGGTCTATTTTATTATTGTTTTGTTTATTGTTCGTTTACACTGAAACATACACACATCATCCCGCCCTGCCTTGACGTAGCATCATTGTAGAGCAATCTGGTTCAATAAAAGTTGCGCCCTGACTAACCCATGTGGAGATCTTGACTAGTTTTTAAAAATAATTTGTTTGTCTGTGCGTGTGGTTCCCTTTTCCTCCTCCTCCTCCTCCTCCTCCTCCTCCTCCTCCTC